CATAACGTAACATAAAAGTAATAAGTGACGGTACGGTACCGAAAGTGGTACCGTAAACTTTCCCATTGCTGTATATCTATAATATTATACACGTATGGGTACAGTTTACAAAAAATCACGTCACATGTTCAACTATGGCTATTTATTATTTTTGCGGAATCAGAGGACTTGTTTAGATTATATCTCCAAAATAGTTTTTCATTCTAAAAATTCTAAAATCAAAGAAGATACTATTTGATTAGCTTTTCTGTTCTCCATTTTTTTGAACATTTTAGGAATTGAAGTGTGATTTTAGACAACAATAAAATAATATTTTCATTGTTTTTTAAAGTAAAATGAAAACACAGAAAATAATCTATCTCCAAATTAATGAAGTTACCCATTCAAGTTTCGTTAGAGACAAAAAATGGAGATTGTTCAACTTATTCTTTTCTACCGCTCTCATTGAGCTCTCTCTCTCACACCTTTCCCTCTCTCACTCTCGCAACTATTGAATCTAACTTTCAGATCTATGTGTGTTTGTGTGAGTGTACATGTGTGTGTGTGTTTTTTGTAGAGAGAGGGGAAAAAGAAAGAGAGAGATGAGAATTGAAAGTTTTGTGAATTATTATCCAAACAAATTTTATAATTTTTTATTTTTTAAAACCATTTTTAAAAACCTATAACCAATTAAGTTTTGAAATCTAAAATTTTTTTAAAAATACTTTTTTAAAACTCTTCTCAAAATTTAAATATGCTCATAGTTTTCCATGTCAATATCCCCTATAATCACACACGTGACATTTTACATATTCAACAAGATTAATTAGAAAGAACCTCAAAACATGAGGGATGTAACCAATACTAGAAATTTTAGAACCAAAAAGAGAATCAATGAAAATTATGGGCTAACAAGTGTAAAAAAAAAAGTTCTTATATTGTAACAAGTAACATTTCTTGTAAGACTCTGTTTGATTTTCCTTGAGTATTTTGAATTCCTCTTTCCTAATTGGTTGGCCTACTGAAACCTCCCCGAACTTGCAAAAAAAAGAAGAAAAGTTGATGTGATTGTGGGGTCAGCTTGACCGGTTAAAGCAAGCAAAATCGTTTAGAAGATCAAAAGTTATGATAAAGTACCCACAGGCCCACCAAGACATCCAACATGGCTCTACGTCTCTCACAGAATATGTATTGTATGTGTGGCCGGCCATCTGCTTTTCCCCTCCATGAAGCACCAATGACGGCAAAAAACTAACATATGAAAATAAATTATAGAATAAAAAATAATTAGATCAAAAGTTAAGGGGAGGGAATTGTTATGGAACACATATTCTAGCATAGCAGTGGATGCTTGTATGATTTTTTAAAATTAAAAGAATAAAAAATATTATTTAAACATAATTTAAGTACCAAATTTGAAGAATTAATTAAATTAAGAACAATACTATGAACTAAATTATATGCAATCTTCAAATTAATGGTCCACATTATTAATACAAACGAAGTAAATGATTTGGTGCACATAGTTTTATTCTTTAATTAAAAGTGAGTTTCACCTAACATTAAAATTTAAAACTAATTTAATAATTGTATTAAATTAAATCTCTATTAGGTTATTAAATTAAGTCCTATAATGCTATAACATTGCTCTAAAAGAATAGTGTAAAATAAAAAGGGGTGAATAGAATAAAGCAACATAAAAAATAAAAAAGAAAACAAAAGGTGGATGTTGCAGCAAATTGCAAAGGTGTATTTGTGACCAAGCATAGCTATATGAACACATGTAAGTAATGAATGAGTTAAGTGGTGACTAAGAGATATAGGGATATGAACTAAAGGACAATGGTGGGGTATGAAAATCAGAGTACCATTACNAGTCGAAGAAGTAAAAGTAATTCATTCCAATTTCCTACTAATGTTTTTCAGCTTTTTTTTCACTTTGATTCTTTAGTAATTGTTTTCATGTAACTTTGTATAGTAGTTAGATAGATCAGAAGAGAAAGATTAAGAGAACATATCACCAACATGACGAGGGTTTAGGAACATCCAGCAGTTTAACAAAGCATGAAAGGCTACTTGTTTCCATGTTATGATCCGGAAAACCAGCCAAACGCTTGTTCAATGGTTCTCCAGGTCACCCTGTAAGAGTATTAATGTTAAGGGTAATTTGGGCATTTTTTTTATGTTGGGTTGTCCAACTACATAAGACTTACTTTATGTATTTCTAAGTTTATCGTGTGTATTACAGACTTATTTTTAGTGTAATATATTATATCTTTCTCTTCTCAATTCTCATTGATCAATCTTATCATGGTATCAAAGTAATTATATTTCAAAATCTAAGACTACAGAGAGTAAAAAGATGAAAGAATTTTTTTTTTGAGGAATGCAATTAGAACATAATTTAAAGACATAATAAGTTGTCACCAATGATATGATAATGAATTTATTTAATGCTACAATGAGACCTATCATTAAATACATTTTACTATTATTTCATTGGTGACAAACTCATTATGCTTCCAAATTATATCCTAATAACATTAGTGTTTTTTTTGTCCTGGGCTCCCATAGAATGACATTAGCATTGCCGGTAATTACATCATGGTGATGTCATCCTTTTTTTGACCGTAAAAACCATTATTAGACTCGAAATTGCATGAACTTTCTGCTGGTATTGTTCGTTTTTGATTTTGAATATTTTTGGCCCAAATTTTCAAATTTTTTCAATCTATCAAAATAATTTTTTTCCTACAATTTTTGGTTCAAATTTTCTCTAAAAGGTACGATTAAGCTTCTATGGTCCCCTCTCGNCTGTAGAACACGACCGAGCCCATTCTAGTCATGATGGCCTTTTGTATAATGGACACAATTTGGCAAAGATTTCAATATTACTGTCTCCAATCGATCAATCACAAAAAACAATACTTCAATCTCGTGGTAAAAGTGTGACAACTAAAAATAAATATCCCAAATCAAAAGCTAAAACAATCAATTTATATGTGTGGATGTACAACTGAAAAGTACGTTAACAATAAAAAAAAAAAAACAAAAACCGGACATATAGATCTCTTAACTTAGATGAGCAGACTTTCTTCACATATTTTTAATTTTCCTGTTTGATAAATTTTGTAGGAACAACAAAAGAACGATGGACAAATTTTCAAGATATGTCCGAAAAAATACACTTATTACTACGTAGATTAATAGAGAGATCTCTCTCTCAACTGTTATTTAGTTCTAATTTATGGTGTGTTTTGTTGAGTAGATGAAAAAATAGAAAGATGAAAAGTAAGAGTGATATACTTTCTATCCTTCAATTCCTTCTCTCTTTTGTGTTTGGTAGGAGGGATGAAAAATAAGAAAGATAAATTTTTTTGTGTTTAATAAGATAAAAAGGTAGAAGGATAAAAAAAATATAAATGCATACATAATATGTAATAAATAAATATAATATATGCATCTATTAAAGGATATATAGATAAATAGTATACACTTCAACACACATAATTAATTTTTCATCCACTTTTCCTCCTAATTTTAGAGAGATTAATTTTGATGAGTTGAAAGAAAAATTAATTCATCTATTTTTTTATCCTTCCTACCTTATTAAATACGATGTTTTATCTATCACTCTAACTTTTTATTATTCTAATTTTTTATCTTTTCATTTTCCATCGTACCAAACAAAGCATCAGAGTCTCTCCCAAGTCCCATGTTCTCAAAACTGTCCATCTTTCCTCTTCTCTTCAAATTATTGTACACTGTCACAAATTTTATATAGAACTAAAAAAATTAAACATAATTAAAATTGGTTTCCATCTATATTGAATTTCTTTTACATGACACTTTGCTTGTGTGACAGTTTCTAGTTATAATAAGTATAGAACCGAAGCAAAGCCTACCATGTGTTCAAAACTTTATGTACATTCACGTATGATAACAAGTATGATAGTAATGTGGTCTTTTATTTAATTAGGATTAGGGAGCCGTTTCTAAGTCGAAGAAGTAAAAGTAATTCATTCCAATTTCCTACTAATGTTTTTCAGCTTTTTTTTCACTTTGATTCTTTAGTAATTGTTTTCATGTAACTTTGTATAGTAGTTAGATAGATCAGAAGAGAAAGATTAAGAGAACATATCACCAACATGACGAGGGTTTAGGAACATCCAGCAGTTTAACAAAGCATGAAAGGCTACTTGTTTCCATGTTATGATCCGGAAAACCAGCCAAATGCTTGAAATCTATAGTTCAATGGTTCTCCAGGTCACCTGTAAGAGTATTAATGTTAAGGGTAATTTAGGCAATTTTTTTATGTTGTGTTGTCCAACTACATAAGACTTACTTTATGTATTTCTAAGTTTATCGTGTGTATTACAGACTTATTTTAAGTGTAATATATTATCTCTTTTAATTATATTTCAAAATCTAAGACTATAGAAAGTAAAAAGATGAAGGAATTTTTTTTTGAGGAATGCAATTAGAACATAATTTGGAGACATAATAAGTTGTCACCAATGATATGATAATGAATTTATTTAATGTTACAATGGGACCTATCATTAAATACATTTTACTATTATTTCATTGGTGACAAACTCATTATGCTTCTAAATTATATCCTAATAACATTAGTGTTTTTTTTTTCCTGGGCTCCCATAGAATGACATTAGCATTGCCGGTAATTACATCATGGTGATGTCATCCTTTTTTTGACCGTAAAAACCACTATTAGACTCGAAATTGCATGAACTTTCTGCTGGTATTGTTTGTTTTTGATTTTGAATATTTTTGGCCCAAATTTTCAAAATTTTTCAATCTATCAAAATAAATTTTTTCCTACAATTTTTGGCTCAAATTTTCTCTAAAAGGTACGATTAAGCTTCTATGGTCCCCTCTTGAGAGAATAGAAGCTTTTGAGGAATTTTGTGGTACATGAAAATCCATATTATGTCTCTCCTATGNGAGAGAATAGAAGCTTTTGAGGAATTTTGTGGTACATGAAAATCCATATTATGTCTCTCCTATGTCTCAGTATAACCGGAAAGATATCTTCTCCAGTTCATTCAAACCACTAAATGATTATCACCTCAGAGTTCCTTTATGCGAGCAAACAAAGATCGGTTGGTACATGGGCCTCCTACGTCTATCTGCTTTGCTTATCCCCAGGAACCAAATCACTGAAAGATCCTTCCACTTCTCACAAGCAGATCCAAGTCGTTCGAATATGTTTGGCCGATTGCACTTTTGCTTAGATTCTCTCAAAAGGAAGCTCTCACGCCTTTGCAAGCAGAAGTATGGACCAGGTACAAATAGTGGACTACTTTGGCTCCTGCAGGTTATAGTTTCATGGTTTGTTTGATGGCATGAAAGTCATAGTACTAAGCAAAGCTTAAAACATCTAAGAATGCAGAGTTTCATATTATGAAGTGTTTAAACAGGCATCTCCCATTCCAAACCCCTATCCCCTCATAACCAACCTATACTGGAGTGGCAGAAGAATAATAAAGCAACCGCTACATGGGGGAGAAAAGGGAATCCAGGGAATTGCTTTTCCAGATGAGGATTTAATATGATAGGGTTTCAAGCTTTCTGAAAGATGNGGGGAGAAAAGGGAATCCAGGGAATTGCTTTTCCAGATGAGGATTTAATATGATAGGGTTTCAAGCTTTCTGAAAGATGATGTATCTAAAGGCCCACCAATAAAAACAGAATCATATCACCTTTCTCCAATTCTCACATTCCTAGATGGTGGGTCACTTTAGTGCACAATACGGGTATAAGTATACGATACGATACTTTCTTAAGTAAGGGTACAATGGGGGTAGGCTTATGGTATTTTAGGTCACAATTTGTTTTGGAACTCTAATCTAAATAATTTTTACCACTATACAACATTATATATCATAAAACATTCATAAATACTAAATCAATTATCATTTATCTTACATTTGTGCTCAATTTTTTATAATTTAAAATAACATAGAATCANAATATCATAAAACATTCATAAATACTAAATCAATTATCATTTATCTTACATTTGTGCTCAATTTTTTATAATTTAAAATAACATAGAATCATTATCTATGTACTAATAATTAGTTACTATGTATTTTATATTTATGCGACNATAGAATCATTATCTATGTACTAATAATTAGTTACTATGTATTTTATATTTATGCGACGAGTACAATTTGGGATCGTACATTTTGATAATCTGGATCGCAAATCCATCCTATTTTGGATCGATATACCCAAATCGTGGGTCGTCGTGGATTTGGTGAAGTCTGATACCTATGAGTACAGTACACCATTCAATCCGGTCTCCACCATGAAGCCAACAGATCATACACAACTCACACAAAGATTAGTTCTATCCGTCATTCAGGTTTTTAAACAACCATATTGGGTTAATTTATTGCTCAAGGAATTCTACAAGTTGAAGTGATGACAAGTCACCACATGATAAGAAGTATTGGAAGAACAGCAATCATAAAAAAGTAAATGATTAGCCAAAGGCAATAAGCAGTGTAGGTGAATTGATGACTTATATCTTTAGGAGAAGGTGCCAAGGAGTACAAATACATTAACATTATTATATGAATCTCAGCATAGGGATATAATTTGATAAACCAGGATTTTTCTTTCTTAATCAGAAGTCATAAAAATATAACTAGAGATTTTATGAAGCAGAAAGTCATTATTTAGTACCTTCTTTGTATTTCAATTCAGAGAGCTGTTAGGCATTCTTGCTGTGGAGAACATACAAGTCTGGCTTCCACTAGCAAAAGGTGGGGTGCCCGCATTCAACTTGCTTGATAAGCAAATAAGTTCTGTCAACATGCCTAGATATTATATCAACTTGGTGAGATAGCTCAGATTCCTAGAAGCTATATAGTTTCCAGCAGAAATCCCAACCACATACCTGAAGGAATAATGGCAAAGGAAAGAATCATGATACAAANTAGTTTCCAGCTGAAATCCCAACCACATACCTGAAGGAATAATGGCAAAGGAAAGAATCATGATACAAAAGTCCAATATAAACCATCAGCAAGGAGATCCTTCATATGTAATCCGTACAGGCAAGATATCAAACACAAAAGAAGCTAATCAAGATCCTCCAATTAGTGACCCAGTTGCGTTGCTTTATGGGCCATGATAAGGCAGAAGAGACAGGAGATCCAATATTCTAAAGCATTAAAATCATGAAACCACCTAGCTGTTATATATTCGTAAGCAAAATTGAATGGTCCACACCCCATCAAAGCCCTACATATGGCTATGGAAAATGCTGTTGCCTAAACTTAAGTTCAATAAGTTCAACTCTGTTAAAAGTAGGGAAGACGCATTTGTGTTTTTCCCTTTCCCAGGGGGTAACACTTGCGACTCTGGGTAAAAACAAAGAGTTAGACCCTGCAACNAGTAGGGAAGACGCATTTGTCTTTTTCCCTTTCCCAGGGGGTAACACTTGCGACTCTGGGTAAAAATAAAGAGTTAGACCCTGCAACCCTTCTTATAGAGGAAGGACAGGCCACTTAATCTAACNGTAGGGAAGACGCATTTGTGTTTTTCCCTTTCCCAGGGGGTAACACTTGCGACTCTGGGTAAAAACAAAGAGTTAGACCCTGCAACCCTTCTTATAGAGGAAGGACAGGCCACTTAATCTAACAGCTCTAACTCTTCTTTGTGCACTGTGTTCCTGAAAACCAAAAACAACTGGCACTAATGATGCAGTCTAGTCCTCTGGGTTTATCATGCCCTACAATGTCACAGGTTCTCTCATTTGAGCCTTTGACCTGTGTGGGTAACCAAGAGGGGCCTAGTTATCGTATTATATATTATAAAATTTGGTGGGGAGATGGTCAAAAGGTCGTGCATAGAAACATGGAACATCCCTAGTTCATCTTCATTCTCAGTTTGTTTATTACATTGAAGCTATCATCTTGCCCCTTGTACATATAGTATGCACAGGGAAACTGTATTTGAATTTAAGCTGAAGGACAAGTGATGTGAATCGTAAGAGAATGATAGGCTGGAAACGCAAATAGTACACACGAAAGTAAAGAATTTGAAAGGTCCAAAGTTCAGGATAGGGCAGTCTGTCTTGCCACTAAATACACCAAAGTTCTTGTCAACAAATTGAACAGAGATGACAAATTGTAGGCCGTGCACCTTTTCATTTCCGGAATGACCTATAGGACATATGAAGACTTTCTACATGGTCAGCTTGATGAAGCTAGGTGGGAGAACACAAATGCCACTGGGTTTTCTAAGTGTGATACTATTTTTCCTAAAATTGGCTAGCTAAATTACCCAAAACAATTAGGCAAATGGCAAAGGAATCTGGTTGTTGTTAGAGGGACAATGAAGCATATATCTACCTTGGGACTATATTAATTACCTTAATCTTTGAAAGTTAACGTCATCAACATACACTCACAACAGGTCTTTTCAAAGTTTAAGCCAAATTTTGGGACAAATTTCATCAAATTATAAAATTTATGATTACAAGCAAATAGAGAACAAACCATTTAACTACAATCAGGATCAGAATCTGAGATAATGATAAGGGGTTAGAGCATTTGCCCAATGTCCAAGAGAGCTGCTATTATTAGTATTCCTGTTGCAATATAATTCTTTGTGTCCTCCATGCTGTTAATATTGTCATTGGAGCCTTACTATCATTTTGATCATTCTCATAGCGTATACTGATGGCATCTATTCCGATCCAGCTTTGTAAGTTTTGCTTGCCAAGTAGTCATTGATGTCCAACTAAAGCTAACAAGCCACTGACACCAATATCTTATTATCTCTGGCTTTCCCCATATCAACCAGAAATTATTCTCTAATTGCATAAGCTGATAGTGTAATTGCTTTCAGAAATCCCTGAAACGCACAACCCTGGTACCAAAAGTCTAGAATACCTACGCCTGTTTATTAGTTAATAGAACACATTGTTGTCATGTTCCAGATGACCAGGCAGACGCTGCAGATCCACTCTATGATTTTCAGAACAGCATAAAAAAACTAACTCTACCATTTCTTAACCTGTTGAAACTAGCAGATAAGCATAATATGCCCTCTGTCCCCAACTACTAGTAGGCTCTTAATCCCTCTAGCTAGTAAAAGAAATTTAATTTGTTAGATATATTATTAACTAAGAGCACTGAAATAAAGATATAACGCCAAACATGTCCTTTGATACTGATTCTCCTTTTTCATTTGTTCCATCGTCAGCTCCAGTTTGTGGTTCCTAAAGAGGATGGGTCACTCCGCAATCTGCCCTTTGAGAAGATATATTCTGCCAACTGGCTGAACCCCACCACCTTTTCTCCTATTTATAAGGAGCTCCCTTGGTAACATCTCTCCCATACCGTCCTTGACTTAAGTCATCTCCCTTGACTAGAACAATCCTTTTCCCCTTCATTCACTTTTTGCAGGATTCACTCCCAGTCACCCTTCCATCGACATTTAGTTTCCAACTTCTAATGCAAGTCCTCAGAAGACTCTTACCTTTCAGCCAACACAAAACTTGACTTCTGTCATCCTTCAGACCGAGTCAAAACATTCTTTGCCGACTTTAGTTCTAGACTGTAATCAGTACTTGGATATCCTCTAATGGCATCAAATTCCCTCTCGTCTTCACGTAGCTCCAGCTCTTCTTGGACGCCCAAGCAAAACAAACTATTTGAGAAGGCCCTGGCAGTGTATGATAAGGACACTCCAGACCGTTGGCAGAATATTGCCAGGGCAGTGGGTGGAAAGTCTGCTGAGGAAGTGAAAAGGCACTATGATATACTCATAGAAGATCTCAGGCACATTGAGTCTGGCAATGTCCCATTCCCTAATTACAGATCAAACAGAAATGCCCACTAAGCCAATGAAGATGCTCACCACAGGTACTATACTAGTTACTTTCCAACTTCTTGTGTCGTCATTTCTGCTTTCATCAATGTTTGATTAATCCAATCAACTCCGATACCAAAAACAACTTGGTCAGAATTAGAAAATCTAGTAGAAGGGCAGAGCATCTTTGTGCCGTCATTATCCAAACAGGACCATGAGGTAACCAAGGAGGCATTGAAGGGCTACCTTAATGTGGTCCATCAAATGCTTTGTTTTATCATTAAGAGAGAGTTTCCCTCACCCAACTACTTATCATTTATTAAAGAAGGCAATGCCCGGTCAAACACCTTTCAACTTCTTATCCTGTCCCTGAGCGGACAAAAAGTCCAGATGAGATCTAATCCTACTCATTTGTTGCGGATAACATGCCAATGGTCCTATGCTTTCTAAACTCAAGTTCAAACAATTCCCATGTCAGATTCAAAACACTGCCCCATTCTTTTTAAATTTCAATGTAGATGCGCTGCTACATACAACTCTATATTGAATTCCCTCTTCCGTTGAAACTATATTTATTTATTGGTCACTTTTGTCTTGACTTGGACTTGTGCTTTTCAGACCCATCTGAAACTTCTGGCAGCATCAATACTTCCACAATCTCTGAACTCTTAGAATACTTTCGTTTTTATATTAATCATACTTTCGAATATTTTATAATGAT